GCGGCGGATGAGCTGGTAGAGAGGGTGTGACGAGGGGAGAGATGCAAGCCGAGTGGCTGACCTGTGTAGAACTTTCAGTAACAAAAGGTGAATGGGGAGGAGGTCAGCGTGAGCGTTGAGCGTGTCTCCTGCAGTGGTACGCATGGCGCCCAAGATGGTGATAGCTGCGCGTCGTTGTACCGACACCAGTGACTTTGTCACCGATACCGAACCGATCTGTCGGCGCCCAGACTGTGAGGGTCGCGGAGGTGACCACCACACATCTGCTCCGTAGGTGAAGCGGGGGATTGCTACCGTGAGGTAGAGACGACGGAGAAACTTTGCAGGGATACCACCTTTCACCCTGCCCAGACGGGCAATCTGATTCGTCCACCACAGGGCGCTAGCGACAGCCTTAGCAGCGTGTTGCTTCCAGGAGAGCTTCTCGTCGATGATGATGCCCAGAAACTTGTGACTAGGAACAGACTTGATGGTGACGGGGGTGCTGGTGCCATCCGGATTTGGGCGCTCGATGACGAAAGGTGGAGGAGTCGGGTCGGATGGCTTGCGATTGAGGTACATGACACAGAACTTGTCCAGTTCGAAGGGAGAGTTGTGCATCTGCGACCAATGAAAGCCACCGTTGGGCTGAAGGAGCATCTGTCGGAGATTCAGCTGACAGTCAGTGGGTGTCGCAGCGCTCGTTGGCATCCCGACGTCGTCGACAAAACCTTGAGGAAGTCCGGAGTGCCCCATCAGGGCGACTTCTACGAGACCCGCGTTGTAGAATTTGTACTCTTCCATGGCTCCGGGACAGCCTTGCGTCGTGCCGTTGATGGTTGGGATCGGGTCGGAGGTGAAGTCGTCAAAATGAAGGCGCGTCGAGCGCCCAGTGAGCTTGTTCGCCACGAAATTGACATAATTCGCCGGTACACGGCGCATGCGCATGTTGTGTAGTAGAACCTCCTTGACTGTGTTGGGAAATGCTGCTTGGACGTCGAGGAAGAGGATAGCGGCGACATGTTTGCGATGCCACGCGTCCTTGACAGTTGAGACAAGACGATGCACAGCGTCGGTTGTGCTGCGGCCGGGTCGTCCACCAAACTGATTCTGGGGGATGAGTTGGTGCTTCTCTGTAAGGTACGTAAGGTCAGCGGTGAACATGGTAGTGAGGACTTTGCCGATGGTGTTCAGGAGCCCGATCGGTCGGTAAGACTTGGCGACCGTATAGTCGCCACGCCCAGGCTTGCGAAGGACAACGGTGAGGGACTCTCTCCAACTGCGGTGGTAGAAGCCGCACTGCATAGCGGCCCTGTAAATGTAGTAGAGATGATCTAAAAGAATATCAGCGCAACGGATGAGAAGGATGTTCGGGATGCCATCGGGGCCAGGCGCCTTATAAGGCTTCAGCTTCTTGAGGGTGCGCAGTATCATCGTCCGAGGAAAGAACTTGAGGCCCTTTAGTGGTTCTGGGTAGGCACAGGCAGGGATGGTGGGTTCGGCGGGCGGGGGCGGAAAGAAGGTCCGAGACAAAACTTCGCACTTGTCGGTGTTGGTGGTCGCTTCGAGCTTGGCACCTTCGGGATTGGTGTGCGCCAGCGTAGGGATGCGTGCGGGGCTATAATCAGAAGGATCAGATGTGACATAACGGTTAGCGGTGTAGACATCACTGTCAGAGATGCCCTCGAGCCAATCATCCCAATGTGCTCGCTTTGCTTCTTTTAGCAGCAGAGCGTAGCGCTGTGTGAGGCAAGCATACTCGTCGTGGGAGGGGTGCTGAGGAACACATCGAAAGCGATGAGAGCGCGAGCTGGCTTTGTTTTTCTCCTTGCGCGCTTGCGAAAGCTCCTTGGTCCACCACCTCTTAGCGTACGGCGACGGCTTGCGGACGGGTACGTGCTTCTCGATGGTACGGTGGATGGTGTCGGTGAGATCATCTACTGAGTGATCGAATACGGCGGAATCTGTGATGAGAATAGGCTCGGGGAGCGCCGCCAAGCGTGCAGAAAGATCTTCGCGAAGCTCTTTCCAGTCCACTTCCTTGAAGTTGCGAGACGTCCGTGGGGCGGCGCGGGAGACGACAAATTCGAGAACACTAATGATGGGGAGATGGTCAGCATTTCCTGGCCGCAGATAAGCAGCTGTTTCGCAACGAATGAAAGGGTTAAACTCGTTGCTGGACTGCCAGACATTGTCTGGGCGCGTCCAGTTCCCGAAAGAGTTCTGCAATGTCGGGATGCAGGGCGGGAGCGCCATCTCCATGTCGTAATCTTGGAGAAGGTCGAGGAGCGGGGTGATGAGATGATCCGGCGACGTCAAATGCGAGTTGTCCGGCTCGTCCCAGAGGGGGTGATGGCGGTTGAAGTCGCCGCACCAGACCATGTGGTCGGTAGGCGGGGGGCGTGAGATGGACGGATGGGCTTGAAGATAATCGGCAAGCGCATGGAGGGAGTCGTTATGCTGGCAGTCGTTGTAGATGTTGAAAATAGCGAGCGAGCCACGGCTGGTGTGTAGGCGGACAGCAGTGATGTCGTTTGAGAAAATGGAAAGGCATTCGTAGCTGTCGGTAGAAATATTAGTATTAATCAATATAACAGAGCGCGTAGGGATATTCTGATGAGTAAGGAAGGTGGTGGGGTACAAGACGCGAAAGAAAGCGTTGCCCCGTGTCTTGCCGTAGGTATCAAACCATGGCTCTTGGAGGAGAATGAGATCCCATCGTGCGGGATCTGCCTGCGCTAGAACGGATTCGTGGGCCACTTGTGATTTGCGAGCGTTTTGTTGCCAGATACGCAGTCGCTGAGGTGCTTCTGGTGTACTGTTCATACGGTAGGACGTGCACTGGTGGTGGCTGTGGTGGGTCGGCGTTCGTCGATGTTGAAACTTTCGGTAAGGGTCGACTGCCGAGGACGAGTCCCTCCAGTAGTCGGTGCCGTTGCAGCGATCGTAGGCGAGTCGGGGCGGGGTGGAAGAGGAATGGGGGAGCGCTGACGGCGTGATGTCCGCGAGAGCTGAGTCAGCGGCGCAGACATGGTTCGCTGAGTGCTGTGAGCACTCCTGTCCTCGCTCGACACCCAAGTCCAGCGCTCAGATGTGGGGAAGAAAACCATACGGTTTTCGGGATACCGTGCGTCAAGATTGCGGCATTGTTGAGCGAAAGACGGGCAGTCGCGGGAGAGACTGGAGTGCGAGGAGGTCGGTCCGCAGGAGACGCAGCGCGGGTGGTGCTTGGCATTGCAGTCTTGAGTAGGGTGGTCTTCACTGGCGCAGAACGCGCATCGTTCAGGCTCGGTGCAGTGGAGGCGGACGTGTCCGTAATGCTGGCAGCGATTGCACCGAATGGGTTCGCGTTTGTCCTTGTCGACGGTGACGTGGTGTTCATGAATGTAGATACGGGCTCGGATGAGCTCGTTTGCGGCAGCAGCAGTTCCACAAAGAACGCGGAGGTTGGCGACAGATTGTCCTGCAGGGCGGTCCTCGGGTTTCTTGATCCACCGCATGGAGACAATGTCATCCGGCGAAATTCCTGCTTCGTTAGCAACACTAGCCTGATCAGAATGATTGTTGGGGTCAAAGGTACATGGAACGAAACGGAAAACGAGAGGGAACGTCTGGCGCTTGAAAGCGGCACTCTTGCAGATTGCTGAGAGGAAGCGCGAGGGTGAGAGGTCGTGGAGCTTGACGACACTCTCGGCGCTGTCGAGCTCGAGCAGGATGGCGTCGCGGTCGAGCTTCCGAATACCCTTGATGACGGCGGGAGATGCGGGCGCCTCGGACGAGTCGGATTCGTCCTTGAGAAGCGTGTTGAGTTTCGTGCGCAAGTCGCGAGACACGGTGGCGTTCCAGGGCTTGGGAGCGGTCGTGTCGTCAGAGTCGAAGGTGATGAGGACCTGGCGTTCGTGAACTGCGCTGCGCTGCTGGAGCTTGACTTCTTCCAATGTGGTCGGCGCGGCTTGTTCTCGAGAACGACCAAAAGCAGCGACCTGGGCAAAAGAAGGCGCCGATGTGGCAGGATACGGATTGGTACTGTCGCGGACAAGGGGGATGGCGGAGAGGAGCTGGTCTGCATTTTCGGTGAGGACGTCGATTTGGCTGGTGATCTTGTCCGTGCTCTCTTTCGACGTGACGACGGACTGGGCTAGGTCGGTGCTGGTGGCTTTTAGGAAGTCGAACGTGGTCTTCATCGACGCCATGGTGGCGGTGAAACGTTCGTCGACGGCGTGGGTGATCTTCTCTGCTAAGGTAGCGGAGATGGCTGCATCCTGTGAATCTTTCAGTAAGACGGCAACAGCCCGGAGGGCATTGCGCTGAGGTAGGCTAAGCTTAGTGTCAAGAGCGATATGGAGGATTATAAAAGATAATTTTTCAGCATTAAAAGCTTCATCTTGTAAGGCGTAGCTGTGGGAGACGAGGTGGGCGCGAGCAGAGTCAGCGTTGTCGAGGTCGATCGGTCCGCCGTCGGCCCTTGTCAGGCGCTCGATTTCCTTCGGATCTGCGGAAAGTGAGTCCGAGCCACGAGTGGCAGGGGTACCGGGCGACGCATTTGATGTGCGAAGAGGGGCTTTGACACCGTTTGCCCTTCCCCCCATGGCTTTCGATACGAGTTTCTTGCTTTGAATCGTGTTGTAGCTCCTAGAGCGGAGAGACAATGGCGCGAAGAGGGTGAGTGTTGGCTCCTGTCAAAGAAGCGCGAGTGGAAGAAGGATGAATTGCTCTCGACTGAGTGAACACACCAGGACCCCGAAAGAGGACGTGGTGGTACCAGATCAAGGAGCGTCCGCAGTACAGTTTCGTGACATTAAATATATGGTACACCACTCGGCGTTGTTCCACGACCACTGTAATGTAGCACTAGACCGTGTTAATGTCGAAACCCGTCCATTCTCGAACAGAGTGTAGCTATTGACAACGAACGAACCTCTCAGGTTGAGTTCATGATCCCCAACACGCTCACGACAGTTGTTTCCAAAAGAAACGGTCATTTGACGGAGGCTAAAAAGACTACCCGGAGCAAGTGCTAATGATGAGAGTGGGATTTGAACCCACGCCCCCGAAGAGACCAGATTATTGTGCAGCAGAAGGATATGCACCTTAGTCTGGCGCCTTAGACCGCTCGGCCATCTCACCATGTCGTCACGAGGCTCATTGGCAATTGTAGATTTTGGTAACATTGACCTATGGGCCGAATTCGAACGCGTGCGGTCACGACATGGCCGCCGTAGTCGCGCCAGCCTGCAGTTCACCTCGAAACATAACAAGTCGCGATGACAACAGTACTAGTCTCAGTCCAACTCGAACCCATCCCAGTCGACGTGTTTTAACCCATATTTTTGGAATCCATTACCGACAAATGCAGTAACGTACACTACGCGACTAACTACATACACGACAACAAGCTAGGGTGACCGGTGAGGATGAGATGACGAAAAAAGACATCATAGATAGGGACATATATATGCGGGGAATGCGGGGGAAGATGCGTGAATAGGGAGATGGGACGCGGGGTGAATGAAGGCGGGGGGAGGTGGGGGGAATGCATGCGTGAGATGATGAAAGATGAGACGGCGGATGAAGATGAAGATGAGAGTGAGAATGGCGGGATAGAGTATATTTTGCGGGAGAGGGTTGGTTGGGGATCCGCATATGTGAATGGCAGACGGAGGAACGGAGGATAGGATGTGAGGGATGAATGAAGCACAACAAGGCCAGAAGAACCTATGAAAGAAGATGACAGCAGCATGATAACAAACAACAAAAGATTATGATGAAAAACCCGATAGCAATGCGAGACGAAGCGAAGTTGACGTGTTCCAAAACAATGAGGGATGATAGAGTAATTGACCTGAGAAACCGAGGGAAATATGGGGAGATATGACGAAGCATCGAGCTTGACGTAGAGGGGAGACCATGAGGCGCAGGTATGTTTTGTTGACGAGGTAACCGAAGAAAAGACGAGCACAGACAGAGAGAGGGGGGAAGAGGGAAGAGAAGGGAGCAGGGGGATACCGCGAGCGCCAAGGCTACGCCAAACAATCCGACGTGTTCTTCATCGGGTTCATCTTCACCTTCACCTTGACGAGCCCGACACTACTCTCCGGCGGGCCATTGCACAACTCCACCCCGACCTTCTGCACCACCGCCATCCCCAACGGCTCCAACGCCTCTCTCCACACTTTCCGCCTGCGCCGCCCGTCGAAGATAGACAGAGAGCGTTCGCCAGTCTCCCCTTCCGGACCGAAGACGAAGACTTTCTCGTCTGACGAGGATGGAGGGTGCGAGGAGGAGAGGGAGGAAGATGGGGACCAGGGTGCTTCGCCGTGGGCGAATGCGATCCAGCGGGATTGGATGGCGTCCCGAACGCGGTTGTAGGCGTAGGTATCGACGACGGGGACACCCCACTCTTCGTCGACCTCGATGCCGCCGAACCCGTAGTCGGGCGACATACGTCCGTCGACATCGTCTTCGGACGTCTCGGAGCCGGAGCCGAAGCACATTTCGGGCGTGGATGGTGTGAGGCTGCCGGTGGGGGACATCTCCACGTCTGGAGAGGAGGCGAAAGAGTCGGGAGGGGTAGCGGAGGCGAGTGCCGGAAGAGGGACAGTGTCGAAGAGGTACATAAGGTCGACTGCATGGTGAGGTACACCACGTTGCGGGCTCTCCTGGTCGAATACGTACCGGAACACGCCTTTACCACCACGCTCGGCCTTGGCGTGTCTGGCGATACACTCGGTAGGCCAAGCGAACCGCGCGTCGTTGATGAGCTCGAGAATGCGCTCGCAGAGCTCATCGGCGGGAGTGTACGAAGTGATATCGTATGCGCGCAAGAGGGCCGTCGACTTGCTGAGCGACTGGCAGATCGCTCGCAGCCGACGTACGACGGCAGGACCGGTCCACAGCGACGCCGGTAGTGTCCACTGCAGCGACTCGGCGCCGCAATCACCGATCATGAGAGGTTGATTTGAGCGGACAGTATGTTGAGGGGGCGGCCGTGGCGAACGAGAGCGTGATCGCACGTGAGATGATGTATGCAGGTGTGGCAGACGAAGGTGTCGGTGGTCTGGATGATGCGAGAGGGCTTCCAGTTCGGGCACGTCGAGGTGTCCGTTGACGATGTGGTGCTTGGGCGCAGCTTCAACTTCAACAGGGTACAACGCCTCTTTCCACCCCTTCGCGAAGAACAAGCCGTCATCCACTGCGCGGAAGTTCTGGTTCAAAGCGACGAGCTGATCTACATCCACTGCTCGAAGATCCTCGACGCTGTGCACGTTCAGCGCACACATGATCCTCGATAACTGCCAACCGGCCGAATGAACGTTCGGGATGTCGAGCTCGAGCATGGGAGATTGAACGATGGCACGATGGAAGAGCGGCCGGTGTTCGTTGTAAGTGGAATGCAGATGGCAGAGGATGTCGGCGGCGCCGGTGGATTCGCCGAAGAGGGTAACATTGGAGGGATCGCCACCGAAATCGGAGATGTAGTGGTGAACCCATTCCATGGCGGTTCGTTGATCACGAAGGCCTAGGGGATGGTCAGAGACGTCGCACGTTGGTACAGGAGATCGGCGTACCATAGTTGCCTACGCCCTCATCACCAGCCAGCTTGTTGTCTTCACGTATGGCAGGACTTGACGCAAAACCAAGGAAGCCGAGGCGGAAGCTTCTCAAGGCATCAGAACGACGCCCTCATGAACGAAAGAGACAAGACTCACTTGACCGTGACCAAAACCACAGGCTTACCAGACTCGATGCTCTTCTTCACAATCGAGCCACCATCGTACAACCAACTCGACCCAGAACCACGATTGCCACCTCTGAAAAGCGCACAAAGATCGTCATCAGCACCAATTCACGTGAGCGCAAATGCAAAAACTCAAAACCCAAACCACCAAATGACGAAAGAACTGAATGAATGAAGAGAATGAATGGACGGCACATACCCGTGTATCCACAGCATGACAGGGTACCTCTCGGATGACAACGAGGCGCCTGCGGGGCAAGTGATGTTGAGGTTCAAGCACTCGAACTCGTCGTGCTTGAGTGCGGTCGTTTTGGGGAGGAGCTCCTTGACGTCCTCGCCGGACAAAGACAGTCCGAAGAGCTCAGACTCGAGGGAGCTGAACTTGGATTGCGGGCATATGGGGCTGCAGAGTGCAGAGTGAGATGAGCGCTAGCAGGTACGTCATATGGGGGGATATACGAACCCATGATGTGATGCGTCGACTACGCTGGGGTAGGATGCGAAGAGCTTGGACTGTCTGAATCGTGCGGGGACAGAAGCGTATTTGATGCCCAAGAACTGAGAGACGGGGGCTTCAGGCGTGGAGAGCGAATGGCAGAGCCCCTTGAACGTGGTGCGCAGATGGGAATGGTACAGAGAGACGGAAGGTTTTGAGGAAGAGGCCGGAGGGGTATGGAACGCAGATTCCTTCATGATCATCTCTGGGGTGGGACACACGACACACGGCGGGTTGATGTGGGCGTATGTGTGTGGTAGGATGGCAAGAGCGGGATTGCGGGATTGCGGGGAGACAGGGGTGGATATGGGGAGGTCTGGAGCAAGTCTAGCTAAGAGCTAGCTCGGACTGGAGGCCCGCGACGGGGACGGGGACGACGTTGCGGGAGGAGGGGGAGGAGGGGAGTGGGAGGGAGAGGGAGAGGGAGGAGGCCGCAGTCTAAGTAGGGGAACGAGGAGGAGGGCCACGCGACGAAGAGAACATCGCACTCGACGATGGCCTCCAATCCAGCGAGCCCCTCTCAAAAACTCCTCCTCTCGTCCCAATCGGGAAACTCTGGTGCGCTGCTCCGTACGTAAGCCGCCCCCGGCTTTTTCCGAGCCTCCCGTCTGTCCGCTCTGGCTCTGGCCCATCCTCAGCTCTCCCATGACACACCTCTGACGCAGCCTCTTGCTCTTCCAATGTCATGATTTGCACCGTCTTTCCAGGTTTACTCCGAACCAACGCGGGCGCACCCCCAAAGCACTAGGATCCTGCTGATATCCACGGTCCGAAGTCAGCACGAACGCGGAGACCACAGCACCACACGAACTGAATTATACGTACTCAACAAATTACCACGTCGAACCACTCGTCCAGCCCAGTCCAATCGCCTGCTCGAACGTGAGAGCCCACGCCTTCCGGACCCATCCACGTCCAACTGATGTCCCCGGATAGGAAGCCTCCCACCCCCAGACACACCGCTGCTTCGCGGTATCGTTGCCTTGTTGCATCTGCCTCGGTATCGAGACGTAAAACGCGACCACGTCGATCTTGATGCCTTGTTCCATCCAATTGAATGCAGACGGTAGCGTGCCCGATGACCTGTCGTAGACAATCAAGAGCTTCAACGTTCACCACCCGCATCAAATGAAGCGAGTTCAGATGATGGGGTTCATACTTCGTGGGGAGGCTGGTGGAGGATCCGGAGGGCAGCTGTCCAGCTACGTACCCCAGGAGAAGAGGGCTTAGGCTTTCGGTTTCGGTGGCATCGGTGGCTGAAAGTCTGCGCTCGAAACAGACATAAAGACTCCGCATGGCCGGTCACTGATCACTTGCTTTGCCCTAGCGTCCTTCTCCCCGGTCCGCGCAATACAAAACTGTCTTTATCCGCCTTGATACGGTTGATGGGGCGAGCCAAGATGGGACGAAAGAAGCGCGGAGAGGGCGAGAACCACCGTTCTCGGTACGTCCTCGGTCTTAGAACCTCTCGAATCCAGAACTCGGACATACGCTGTTCTGTGGAGTGCGAATCGAAGGTGAGAACGAGGAGACGAGAGAAGAGAGGTCTAGGTTCCGACGTAGGTACTTACCTATGCACGATGACCTCTCACTGTGACGTTCGAGACGCTCCGCAGGAGAAGTGAGGATCAGGGATCAGGGATAAGGATAAGGGGTGACACCTTGATAGTAGTGCCGCAGCTGTCATTCAATTGAGGACTACTGGACGCTGGACGCTGAACACCGAGGGTGGTGATACATTCAAAAGGGTGAATGAATGAAGATGGGGGTGAAATGAAAGGATGAGATCATCAGCACGCGTCGTCACACTCACGGATACAAACGACACTCACTTTGGACATGCGCGTGGTGACGACAACGATTCTTGCAGCGGTTTAGATAGATGCAGATACA